CCGCAGGCCCCGAGCGCGGTCCCGCCGGGCCCCGCGCCGCCCGCGCCCGCGCCCGCGCAGCTGGTGCAGAAGGCGCACGAGCTCATGTGGTACGTGCTGGTCAAGGACCAGAAGCGGATGAGCATCTGGTTTCCGGACATGGTGCGGGACGTCATCGGCACCTACAAGAAGTGGTGCCGGAGCATCCTGCGGCGCACCAGCCTCATCCTGGCGCGCGTGTTCGGGCTGCACCTGCGGCTCGTGTGCGGCCGCCCCCTGCGGCTCGCCAGCCTGCACACCATGGAGTTCGCGCTGGTCAGGGCTCTCGAGCCCGCCGAGCTGGACAGGGCGGCGCTGGGCGGCCGCATGCCCATGGCCGGCCTCCTGCTGCTCATCCTCAGCCTCATCTACGTGAAGGGCCGCGGCGCGCGCGAGAGCGCCGTCTGGAACGTGCTGCGCGTCCTGGGGCTGCGGCCCTGGAAGAAGCACTCCACCTTCGCGGATGTCAGGCGGCTCATCACCGAGGAGTTCGTGCAGCGCAACTACCTCAAGTACCAGCGCGTGCCCTGCGTGGAGCCCCCCGAGTACGAGTTCTTCTGGGGTGCCCGGGCCAGCCGCGAGATCACCAAGATGCAGATCATGGAGTTCCTGGCCAGGGTCTTTAAGAAGGACCCTCAGGCCTGGCCCTCCCGGTACCGAGAAGCCCTGGAGGAGGCCCGAGCCCTGCAGGAGGCCAACCCCGCACCCCCCGGCCCGCGCAGCTGCCTGGCGGAGGACTAGGGGTGGGGCGGGAGGCGCCTGAGCATCCGTGGAGTGGCGGGGCGGGGCGGGCGCAGAGGGCCCGCGGCCAGTGCAGTATTTCACGTGTACCCTGTTTTCAGTACAGTGCTTTTCTACCTTCTAACGCAGCGTGGCACCCCTCTGGGTACCCCGAGTAGCTGTAGGGTGCGTGCATGTTTGTTTATACGTCCGCTCGGTTGGTGCTTTCGCTTTCGTGCTGGATTTTTGTACCAGAGACGTGCTAACCTTATGAAATCATTGAGAAATTTCCATCTTAGGTTCTGTGGGGCCGCCGATGTGTAGTGGGGGAGACTGCGCCTGAGGAGTTGGGGAGAACCCGGAGCAAGCGGGCCTGGCCCAGGGCTGTGCAGGACGCGTGGGTGGACTGGCTGGGACTGAGCGGGACGAAACGTCTCTGCGGCGCTTGGCACCCTCACTAACACTCGCAGCCCCACCACGAGTAAACTGCAGACATTAAAGATCCTTGTGATACAAGCATTTCTGGAAAAGTGTGCTTTCTCTCGGAGGAAGTGGTATGTCTGGGAACAACCGAAGCCCCGCCTTACAAAACAGTCCGAATATCCTAACTGTCACAGAGGAGGAAATCGCTCCTGCTAAGTGTACACCATGGAGAGGGATTTTTTAAAAAATGTAGGTCCTGTTCATCTACTAAGGAGAAAAGTGGACACATTTAGACAGTGTGAAAACTAAAGAGCCAAACGGCCCGTGGTCACATGGTGGTGGTCACAGCTGGCAGGGCCTGGAGTACTGGCGTTTCCTTCTTCTTCTGTGTTTTCATACACGTTAGTAGTGTCTTCATGGGAGTGAGGCGTCGGGCACTGTACCAAGCCCTTTACTGGGCCTAACGGCCCTGGAGGCTGCCTTACACCTGCCCCAGGGAGAGGCAGGGACGACTGGCTAACCTTGCCCTTGACCGCAAGGTGTGGTTAGGGAGCTAGGCCCCAAGCCCAGACAGGATGAGGCCAGAGCCCACCGCTGTCCCCACCTGCCTGCGATGCGTCCACCTCCTGGCTTTCCACTCACTTCAAATTCCACAGTAGAGTCTGCCTCTCCCGCCCAGCTCTCGGGCCACACTCCACCTGCATGGGTGAACCAGGAGTTTCCTTTCTCTAATTCTCACACTTGTTTAGAGAAACAATATTGTTCTGATAGGACAAATATATCACAATGTACTTTCAGAGCAATTAATCGACCTACCCAAGTCACAGTCCCGAGGCCGAGGTTTGAAGCAGTCTTTCCCAGAAGCCGCAGAGGGGCCATCTCTGGCTGACACCAGTGGGGGAGGTGGGGCTGAGCAGGAGGCTGCCCACGAGGACCACGAGGTGCCGGGACCACTAGGCACTCCTTGGAGGGTGGAGCGGGGTGAGGGTGGGGTGAGTGGCCATGACCAGAAGACAGCTCATCTCAAGCTCGTTGACCCACATGGGGGAGGGGAGGGGCGTCAGTGATACCAGGCACCCTTGAAACTCAAGAGGAGTGAGAAAGCCACTGGCTGAAACAGGGCCGCTGCAGAACCTGGTGCCAGGAATCACTCCTTCCACATCTGGAGGGTGCGTGCTGAGGGGCACACGGCTCCCGTCCTGCCTGGAGGTAAATGGCCACTGGTAAGGGAAGGGAGGCCGGAATCTAGCGTCTCAGGTAACAGGGTGCACTGCCGAGCCAGCTCTGGATGGCCCGCGGGTGCAGAGGCGGACTCTGTCCCCACTTTCATAGATATCCTGGAAGTCTTTCATTGTGTGGGGGAGGAAGTGGACACATTTTCGCAAAGACACAGGCAGGAGTGACCTGTCTTTGATAGTCCATGTCCAGAGCTGTTGTGTCACACCTGTTTAGAAATGTTAAGATTGTTTGGAAATCTTAATCTTCCCCCAACTCACACGAGATGTTTCTGTAGAATAAAACCAAATCTCCCCATGCCTGCAGCAGGGTCACAGCTGTTGCCCTTCTCTAGTGCCCTGGTGCTTTGTCATGTCCGCATGGACTCACTGTGGCAACTGTAACCCTGTACGCTCCCTGCGGTCAGACCCAGACATCGCCAGGCAGGCAGTCCCCCAGCTCCCTCTCGACTCCCCGTGTTTGTACACCCACCCCATCCTCTCTGCTGTGAGTGGCAGAATGAACCCCTCCCCAAGGCCAGCCCAGGCTCAGGGACACGAGAACCTGGCCAAGCCTTTGTGGGTCAGGACTGTGGGCCCCACACAGCATGGGCAGGGCTGCTCAGCTCCTTCGCTGTCTGGGAGGCAGCCAGAGCTGGAGGGAGGGGCTTCCCAGATGTGCAGTGCCTACCCCAGGACACCTGGTCCTGCAGTTGGCGCCTGGCTCGGGGAGGGACACGCTCACTCCCTCCCCTAGATCTTCATGTGGGGCCGTGAACTGAAAGGGGGAGAGGCCAATATTTTCCCGAAGGTTCACCTACATGGTGCTGAGAAGGTCGTTCAGAACAGGGCTCTCTGTGTCCGAGCCTGGTGACAGTGGTCAAGCCCAGACAGCAGCAGCTGGGAGGGTGGGCTAGTCCCCTAACACGTGGTCTTTCCCAGCCAACGGGAATCTCCCTTCTTTACAAACACCCACATGCACATCCATCACACTAACAACCTTCACTGCTAAAGCCATGGGGAGAAAAAGGGGCCTTTGAAAATGTAATGTAAAATATAATGACTCCTATTTTAGGCTGTCCTGAGGGGAAATGAATAACTTTAAGTAGTATCATTATTAAATAAGAGATGTTTAAAATGAACTTGTTTGGATTTTGCCATAGGGGGGGTATGCTCCTTGGAGATGAGAGAGACAGAGAGATAAAGTGAGACATTACCTTCTAGGGGCATAGCCACGTCTCAGTCCCTTCTTCTCTGTTCTCCTCTTGGGGTTTTGGGCACATACACACACATGTCCAGCATGATTTTCAAGGCACTGGGTCCAGGACTCACAGCATGGGCAGGGCTGCTCAGCTCCTTCGCTGTCTGGGAGGCAGCCAGAGCTGGAGGGAGGGGCTTCCCAGATGTGCAGTGCCTACCCCAGGACACCTGGTCCTGCAGTTGGCGCCTGGCTCGGGGAGGGACACGCTCACTCCCTCCCCTAGATCTTCATGTGGGGCCGTGAACTGAAAGGGGGAGAGGCCAATATTTTCCCGAAGGTTCACCTACATGGTGCTGAGAAGGTCGTTCAGAACAGGGCTCTCTGTGTCCGAGCCTGGTGACAGTGGTCAAGCCCAGACAGCAGCAGCTGGGAGGGTGGGCTAGTCCCCTAACACGTGGTCTTTCCCAGCCAACGGGAATCTCCCTTCTTTACAAACACCCACATGCACATCCATCACACTAACAACCTTCACTGCTAAAGCCATGGGGAGAAAAAGGGGCCTTTGAAAATGTAATGTAAAATATAATGACTCCTATTTTAGGCTGTCCTGAGGGGAAATGAATAACTTTAAGTAGTATCATTATTAAATAAGAGATGTTTAAAATGAACTTGTTTGGATTTTGCCATAGGGGGGGTATGCTCCTTGGAGATGAGAGAGACAGAGAGATAAAGTGAGACATTACCTTCTAGGGGCATAGCCACGTCTCAGTCCCTTCTTCTCTGTTCTCCTCTTGGGGTTTTGGGCACATACACACACATGTCCAGCATGATTTTCAAGGCACTGGGTCCAGGACTTGAACCATGGTTGGCCATGTGGAAATGCAGCCATCTTAACCACACCACCTACTGGCCCCTTCACATGAACTTCTTATGCAACTCATTATTGCTCGGCTTGAAAAGGCTTCTGTGACCCCCTGCATGCCTGACCAATGCAAGACCACTTCCTGGGGACCCTTCTGGCCATGGAAGCATGGCTGCACCCCAACTTCTTCCTCGAAGTGCATGTGCTGTTTACAGCCTGCATGCTGTCTCGCTCTTCATGGACTCCTAGACTGAGGGGCAGACTGTATCGGTCCTGGTGACTGCTTCCTTGATGCCTGACAGAGGGACTGGCATCTGGACATGATGGACAAGTACTCACGCCGGGCGCATGTGCATGTGTGCCCAAAATCCCAAGAAGAGACCGGAGCAGGGACTGTGGCGTAGCCATCCCCCCTTGGGTGGTGACTTCTCACTTTCTGTCTCTCTGTGTCTCCAGTGAGTGCATGCACCACCCTATAGCAAAAATCTCTCTTAAAAAGACAAGACATTATATGCTTTGGGGAGTGCAAATCCAGTCCTGTACGTTCAGATGGCCACTGCACCTTGACACCGTTTAGCACAAGGAGGGCTGAATCATGACACTGGAGCACTTGGGATTATTTATAAATCATGGATGTTTTAGATGTCAACAGACTGAAGAAGAATTTAGAGGCATGAAGGACCGCGCCGACCAAAACGCGCCTGTGGGTGCAAAGGCGATGTGCATTTTGGACAGCTGTAACTAATTCTCACACATCTGAAAGTCGGCTGTCGCTGGCAAGTGAAGCTGTGTGTTCCATGCTCAAACGCGTGTGGAGACACGCTGACCTTGCATCTTGACAATGGACTTACTCTGGGAATCAGTGTAATGGGGACTGGAGAGCAGAGCTGGACGTCAGCGTGACGGGTACGTGTGTGCTCCGTTTTGCTGCCTTGTAAAACAAGGATCTCATACAAGCTATAGGTAGTACGAGGAGTATTATCAAAAAAGTAAACAGTAAGAGGAAGAAATAATTATGTCTTCATTAGTTTGAATTGAATATTGAAATAGTCTACAGTCCTTTCCACTTAGGAATTTAATTCTGCTTTTAAACCTCATAGCTGGGCCAGCCAAGCTAGCAGTGCAGTGAGGCAACGCTGATGCTGGGCCACACGGAAGGCCTGGGTTCGAGTCCTGAGGTCTCCCTGCATATACCACATGGTCTGGGCTGGTGGGTGACAGAATGAGAGCCCAGCTGGGGTGTCTTTATTGTGCACTCTCCCTCAGGAAAAATAAACGAATAAAATTCAAAAAATAATTTAAAAAATGGACACAGCCAGTGTGGTGCAGTGGGAATGAAGTGCCCTGCGAGTCTGGATGCCACGCGGCTGGCCCCAGGTTAACACCTCAGGTTATCTCAGACACATGCCACGGCTGTGCAGGTGCCCGGGATCCTGGAGAGCTAGCTGGAGGGTGGGGAGGGGGATCTCGGTACACAGACCCTGCCGGGTCCCCCCATTCCCTCGCACAGGCGCACACATGTATGTTACATACTGTAGCAGTAGCCGATATCTAGCCTATGCTGTTTAAATACACAGAGTGGAGGTAAACACATGCATCCAGAAGCACACATACTGTTTCATTTTTCACACACGTTACTTGGTTATTAGTCCTACTATTTAATTACTGCCCGTGCCCAGTATCAGTTACTCCTAATGTTGTTTCATTTAAAAATGTCGCTTACAACCCAGCCACCTGGGTGGTACAGGTGGTACAGAGGCCACCTGAGGGCCGGGGCTGGGACCCTGGCCACCTGCTGTGCTGAGTGTGTGAC